TCCTAGTGGGTGTGAAGTGATATTTCATTGTGGGGGTTTTTTTTAAGTTTTAAAAATTTTTTTAATGTTTATTTATTTTTGAGACAGAGAGAGACAGAGCATGAATGGGGAGGGTTAGAGAGAGGGAGACACAGAATCTGAAACAGGCTCCAGGCTCTGAGCTGTCCGCACAGAGCCCGACGCGGGGCTCGAACTCACAGACCGCGAGATCATGACCTGAGCTGAAGTCGGCCGCTTAACCGACTGAGCCACCCAGGTGCCCCTTAAGTTTTTAAAAAATATTGTAAGTACAATTCACTCTTCAAGATGAGTCTTGAACTCACAACCCCAAGTTCAAGTGTTGCATGCTCCAACTGAGCCAGCCAGGCCCCCTACACTGTGGTTTTAATTTACATTTTCCTGATGACTAATGATGGCCGAGTCTCTTTTCAAGTGCTTACTGGCACTTACTGGTTTTTTATATCTCCCTTGGAGAAATATCTATTTATATCCTTTGCTCATTTCTTTCTTTTTTTTTCAATGTTTATTTCTTTTTGGGAGAGAGACAGACAGACAGACAGATAGAGACAGAGCACAAGCAGAGGAGGGGCACAGAGAGAGGGAGACACAGAACCCAAGGCAGGCTTTGGGGTCTGAGCTGTTAGCCCAGAGCCCAACATGCGGCTCAAACTCACGGACCGTGAGATCATGACCTGAGCCGAAGTCAGACGCTTAATCCACAGGCACCCCTGCTCATTTCTAATCAAGGTAGCTGTCCTGTTTTCTTTTGTTGTAGGTGCTTTTGGTATCATATTTTAAGGATCTTTTGTCAAATCCAAGGTCATGAAGATTTATCTCTGTGTTTTCTTCTAAGAGTTTTTAGCTTTTACATTTGGATCTCTGATCTATTTTGAGTTAATTTTTGCACATGACCTGAGCTAAGGGTCCAACTTCATTCTTTTGCATCTTGACATCCAGTTCTCCCAACATCATTTCTTGAAAAGACTGTCCTTTTTCCCCATTGAATGGTCTTGGCACCCTTTTGAATATCAGCAGACCACAGATGTATAGGTTTATTTCTGGACTCTCAATGTTATTCCGTTAACAACAGAGCTTTAAATTACATATCACAAAAATTGACAAATGTGACTGAGATGCACATTTTTTCAAATACACAAAATGTTCCCTTAATCAGGAAGGGCCACCATGGAGAGCTACAAAGCCTCCATACTATGCAACCATAAAGGGCATTAGTCACATAAATTAGGACAGAATTAGTACCCCCAGAGTTGTGCAACATGATATCCCTGCCCAAAATTAATCATAGTGGGACATCAAGGATGTTGTTTGAAATTCTTTAAAAAACCCTACTGACTCTATTCACTGACCATGGTACAATAAAATTAGACAAATGACAAAACATAACCATAAATTGAAGACCTAACAGGCAGAAGGCAAATAAGCTTATGAAAAGATGCTCAACATCATATGCCATACAGGAATTGCAAATTAAAACAATGAAATACCACTGTATACCTAGTAGAATGGTTAAAGGCTAATGGAGATGCAGAGCAACAGGAACTGTTGGGAACGTAAAGTGGTAAAGCCACTTCGAAGACAGGTTAGCAGGGTTTTTTTGTGTTGGTTTTTTTTTTAATGTTTATTTTTGAGAGACAGAACATGAGCAGGGGAGGGGCAGAGAGAGAGGGAGACCCAGAATCCGAAGTGGGCTCCAGGCCCTGAGCTGTCCACACCAAGCCCGACGCGGGGCCTGAACTCATGAACCGTGAGATCATGACCTGAGCCGAGGTCGGATGCTTAACCAACTGGGCCTGGCGACCCCAGGTTAGCAGTTTCTTATAAAACTAAACATACTCTTACCATATGACCCAGCAATTCTACTCTTTGGTATTTACCAAAACGAGTCAAAAGTGTATGTTCACACAAAAACCTGCATAATTATTCATTATTGCCCAAACTTGGAAGCAACGAAGATATACTTCAGTAGATGAATGAATGGTACTGTTACATCTCTTCAATGGGATATTATTAGCATAACAGCAAATGACCTGTCAAACCATGAGGAGACATCAAAGAATCTTTACTGTCTATTGGTAAGTGCAAGAAACCAATCTGACAGCTTACGTACTGTAAGACTTCAAGTACATAACATTCTGGGAAACGCAAAAGAGTAAAGACAGTTAAAAGATCAATGGTTGTCGGGAGTGCGGGGGAGCACAGGGGATTTTTAGTGCAGTGAAATGATTCCATACGGTACTGTGATGGTGGACAGATGTCATCCATTTGTCAAACCCTTAGAACTACACAGTACAAAGAGAGACACCTTTATTATGCTAAGTGATGTAAGTCAGACACAGAAAGACAAATACCAAACGGTGTCACTTATATGTGGAATCTAAACAAAATAAACCAGCCAAAGAGCAGAAACAGACATGTAAATAAAGAGAGCAAATAGGTGGTTGCGAGGGGGGAGGAGGGGGGGGATGGGCAAAATAAGTGAAAGGGAATGGGAGGTACAGGCTTCCAATTACAGAATGAGTAAGTCATGGCAGGGAAGGTTACAGTATAGGGAACACAGCATTGTGTAGTGACAGAGGGTGGCCACACTCACGGTGAGCACAGCATAAAGTATAGACTTGCCCAATCACCGTGTCGCACACCTGAAACTAATGTAACTTGTGTGTCAACCATACCCCAATTGGAAAAAAAAAAAAAAAAAAGACTAAACCCTAATGTAACCTACAGACTTTAGTTAATCATAATGTATTGGTTCATTGGTGGTAACAAATGTACCACAGTAATGCAAGATGTTCAGAATAGGGGAAATTGTGAGGGAATGGCCTGGGGTGGGGTGGGGTTGGGCAGGAGATAGAAAATATATGTGAACTCTGTGCCATCTGCTCAATTTTTCTGTAAACAAAAGAGCTCTAAAATATTAAAGTCTCTTAATTAAAAAAAAAATCAGAAATTCATCACAGGGAGAAAAATAGAGTTGAAGAGAACCAGAATGTGTTTTTTTTTTGAGAAAATTAGTAAAATAGTTAACTCCTGATAATATTGATCAAGTCAAAAAGGGAGGTGGGGGTGCCTGGGTGACTCAGTTGGTTGGGCATGCGACTTCAGCTCGGGACATGATCTCACGGTCACGGTTCGCGGGTTCAAGCCCCACATTGGGCTCTGTGCTGACAGCTCAGAGCCTGGAGCCTGCTTGGGACTCTGTGTCTCCCTCTCTCTCTGCCCCTCACCCACTTGCACTCAGTCTGTCTCTGTCTCTCAAAACTAAATAAACATAAAAAAAATTTTTTTTTAAGGGAGAAAGTGCACGTAAAAACATTACAGGCATTTTGTGAGAAAAACAATAGATAATACCAGGAATAATTTTGCACTAATAAATTTGAAACCTCAGATGAAAATAGTCATTTTTCTCTAAAGTTGTAAATTTCAAAAATAAATTGTAAACTTCAAAAAAAAAAAAAGTAAAGGAAATGTAGAAAACATAAAAAGGCAACTAACCACGTGAGAAATGGAAAAATCTAGGAAACTTCCCAAATGTATCAAATGATGTTACAGACAGGTTTTGCCAAAAACTCCAGGGAAGAGAAAAATGCTATCTTATATAAAATATTGCAGAGCCCAGAAACCATGGAACACTAACTTATGTTGTGAGTTTGGAAGAATCTTGTCACGAAAGTTAGACCCACGTAGACAGCAAAACAGTAGCCACTAAGCAGAAGGCAGGCTCACTTATACACACAGGTGTGAAAATCCTCACCATTAGTGTTAGCACATCAATTCTAGCGAAGTGGCAAAGCGCTAAGGGTCATCAAGCTTTCCTCACCGAATGCAAAAGTGATCTGGCCGGCCTGGCTTTCGCCAGCCATTCGCGAAGGCTCGCACTGACCGCCCCTGGGGGTGCACATAGGGAGGAAGCCGTGGGGTGGGGTGCTGGTCTGGAGGGGGGCGGTATGTGGAGTGGGGGTAGGGTCGGGAGGATACCTACAGCCCAGGTGGGGGGATCCACAAGTGAGTCATCCCCAGCCACGTGTGGGCAGGCTCCCCAGCGGAGTCCGCAAGGCAGCCAGTGGCTTCTGTGCCGTGGAGTGTCCCGCCTTCGGTTCTGCCAGCCTCTTTGTGCCCCAGCGACCCGAGCTGTAGAGCAGGCCTCGGGATTCTGGACGGAGCGGGAAAGGAGCGGCCTCTCCACAGCCGCTCACACGCTCTCACTCTCTCCCATGGGAGAAATCACCGGCTGGGAAGTTTTCTCTTGCACTGAGCTGTGCCCCCGTAGGAGAGACGTGGGCGACACAGGTGAAGGGAAGCTGTTCCTCTTACCCTCTCCAGCGCATCTAATCCCAAATGTGTATTTTTTCCTCCAACGGTGCCGGACTTCTGCACTCTCATCCATGGCTGATGGCCAATGTTTATGTTCTTTGGGAGAAGGAGGTAGAAACTCCTATTCCACCACTCACTGATGTCACTCTCCATTGTCTCCTCCTAGGATTCTATTAGACACACCGTGGGACTTCTGGGTCTGTTCGCCATATGAGGCAATACAAGATTGATCTTCCCCCTCCCCCCCATATTTTCCATCTTTTATCTCACCGTGCTGTCTCCCAAGAGATATTCTCAGCTTGACCTTCGGTTCTCTAATGATTCTTTGGCCGTGTCCAGTCTGTTATTCAACCCATCTATTTGGGTTTTTGCAAATTCCAACAGCCATGTGTTGTATTTTCAAAATCTTTTTTAGTTTTTTTTTTCTCTCACAGCTGACTCTTCACATTTTGTAGTGATTTTACATTTTTTAAAATGATTTTTAGACTTCTGAAGGGTTGCAAAGATAGGACAGAGTTGTCGCATCTTTCCCTTTAATGCTGACGTCTTACACAACCAGCGGGCAATTATCTAAACTAAGAAATTACCGCTGCTACCTTACTATTAACTGAACTGCAGCTTTATTCAGATTTCACCGGTTTTTCACCGATGTCCTTTTTCTGTTCCAGCATCAAATCCAGGACCTCACGTTGCATTTCCTTGACCTGCCTTTTCGGTGTCCTCCAAATTGTGACAGTCCCTCAGTCATCTCCAACCTTTCATGACCTTCACACTTTTTGAAGAGTACTGATCAGGTATTTTTGAGAACATTCCTCAATTTGTGTTTGTCTGATACTTTCTCGTGATTCTATTGAAGTCGTAGATTTTGGGGAAGAATACAACAAAGCCTGTGGTTCCTCCTCAGTGCATGGCAGAAGAGAGTTCATGTCAATAAGTCTTATTGGGGTGACGTGAGCGGCACCCAGTCATTTAAGCATCTGACTTTGGCTTAGGTCACGATCTCGTGGTTCGTGGGTTCGAGCTCCGCGTTGGGATCTGTGCTGACAGCTCAGAGCCTGGAGCCTGCCTTAGATTCTGTGCCTCTCTCTCTCTGCCCCTTCCCTGCTCATGCTCTCTTTAAAAAAAAATTTTTTTTAAAGTGAGTCTTACTGAGGTGACGTTAAAGCTGATCATTTGGTGCGGGTGGTGTTGGCCAGGTTTCTCCACTGTATAGTGACATTTCCCTTTGTAGTTAATACATATCTTGTGGAGACATACTTTGAAGATATGCAAATATTGTTTTTCTCCTGAAACGTTTGCCAACTAATTATAGTATTTATGGGCAGATATTCTCACAGCTAGTGTGACGGTGGTGTTCTAACTGTGATGGTGGTTTTTCTCCTCCCTCACTCCTTTTGCATTTATTATTGACATTCTTCTGCAAGAACGAGTTGTTCCTTGGGGGCCTGGGTGGTTCAGTCGGTTAAGCGTCCAACTTTGGCTTGGGTCGTGATCTCTCAGTTTGTGAGTTCGAGCCCCGCATCAGGCTCTGTGCTGACTGGTCAGAGCCTGGAGCCTGCTTCGGATTCTGTGTCTCCCTCTCTCTCTGCCCCTCCCCTGCTCGTGCTCTGCCTCTCTCTCTCTCTCTCAAAATAAACATTAAAGAAAGAAAAGAAAGAGTTGTTCCTTCTCCCCAGTTAATTTATTTATTCAATTCAATTATTTGCTATGTTATTAGCTGTGTGATGCCTTTGAGTAGCCATTACCAAATTTTATGCAAGTTTTTAAACTGTTCTTGTGCTTCAGAAAGAGACTAATCTAACTTATTTCACCATTACCAGAAATGAAAACTCCCTTAAACATTTCCTGTTTATGTCCCACAGATAGAGGTAGATATCATAGCTATAAATACAGATAGATAGATAGATAGATAGATAGATAGATAGATAGATAGATAGATAGATAGATATGCTATAGATAAATAGGCATAGGTGGTATTGGTATTGAGTACATTTTAATTTATTACATGAGTGATATCATAACTGTACTCAGTAAATGTCTTTGTTTTCTCAACAAGTATGGCACAGGCTTCCATATTAAAACATACAGATCTTCCTCAATCTTTTCTGAATAATACCCACCAAACTCAGAATGATGGACAGGGAGGGTCGTAAGGGTTTGCCTTTTGACATGATTAGTAGTCAAAGGGTACCTCGGATTTTATACAACATTTTCATTATGTTATAAGGTGAATGAATTTGTTTTGAGTTGCATAATTAAACATTTGAAAAATGAGTAGCTATACTGGTGGAAAGGGCATTTTGTAGTAAGAACAGAAAACCTTTAGGTAAGGGAGCGTCACTTTTCCAGACAACTTCTTTGGCATTTGGGGACTATATTTAACATACTGTGTTTATGTTTTTTAAGATTTTATTTTTTAAGTAATGTGTGCCCCCAATGTGGGGCTCCACCTTACAGCCCTGAGACCAAGAGCCTCATGTCCCACCCACTGCAACAGCCAAGCGCCCCTAACATACTGTGTTTACGGTAACTTTTTCTGTGTAGCATTTCAAAACATCCTCCTCCTCCTCCATTTTTTCCTCAGTAATTTGGCCAATATCACCAGCTAATCAATCCGTATAATCTGTTCACTGATAACAGAATCTTTTCCTCTGAATACTGAGTCATTCTTTCCATCTGTTTTTCCCTTTTGCTTTGTAAGCAAACATTGTGCATTTTTGTGGGACCTGGAAGCTGAAGTTAAGAATTGTTTTGTTTTTTCATATGAATGAAGATGAAGTTCCTTAAAAACCAAGTCCAAATAGCTACAGAACAATTCTTTTATCTGCCCATTTCTTCATACACAGACTATTTTGCAGGGCCCTCTTAAAAGTCAGTAGACAAGAAAATGTGCTGTCTTAAAATATAATATAATGAAAAACAGTGGGCTTCTAGTTATTCTCCCAAAGGTTTTCCTACCCTTTCTAATAAATTAAAGCAAGCTTGGCCACCTTTTCATGGATGGCATAGAAGGTAAACAGGGCGTGACTAGCGATCTAAGATGTAAATAATGCAAACCTTCTCAGAGCAGGGATCTTTTTCTGCAGGGTTTAGTCTGGCATTAAGTCAATGTCTGCTGGGGCTACGTACCCATGCAGCATCTCCCACGCTGTGGCTGTCCCCTCTTAATCCCAATCCAGCTTCATCCCTGGACTTTGGCAGTCAACCTCCTCCAACTGGAATGTTCCTTGAGACTGCTTCTTGACTTCTTGTTTTCCTATCACTTGTTCATTGGATGAGTGAGTGAGTGAGTGAGTGAGTGAGTGAATAGAAGCTCATTAATTTGCTCGTGGTCATAGTACTACCGAGGGGCAGAACCCTTTTGTTTCTCTGTTCGGCACTCTGCTACCCACTGTAGAAAGTAAGAGAGACACAAAATTAATCCCTCTCCTTTTGCTGACTCCCTATGTGGGTCCAAGTCAATTCTAGTTATGTGCCTGGAAAACCGTCTCGTGTATTTTCCTATTAATGTATCTGTACTGTCATTTGTGGATGACTTAGTTATTGTTGATTTGCTAACTCGGCAATGAGTGGTTTTAGCTTCTGTTACATGATATTAAAATGAGACAATATTTGCACATAGCTTGACACACATCTTCAGACTGAAGCCTCAGATGAATAACAAATATTGAAAGAAGATGAGTTGGTATGTTGAACAAAAGGAATATTTGGATTGCGATAAAAGCACATGTTTGTCTTTACCTCCCACTGTTCCTCTGAACATTATTTAATGGAGATAATTGTCCCTGTCCCTCAGCTCCCTGTGGGTCCATGATTTGTTTTCCACTTTAAGGTAAAGGTCCCACCACACTTAAATTTACAAATAGTTTTGTTTCAGAAAGTGGCACTAGACACTTGATCAAATACACGGTCTTGCTTGGCATCGTCTTCTCTCCTCCTGTTTTGGCTCCCATGTCCCTGTGGAGGCCTCTCTCTTTGGGGATCGCTCATAGCTCTTTTCTCAGCTCTTGGACAGCTTACACAAACCTCTGTCCTCGTGTTGAAGTCCCCTCGCCCTTCCAGACAGCCTTGTGTGACAGGACCAAGACAACTCCATGCCAACTCTTTCCAGCAGGGCCAGCATTTGGTCCCACAATCTGACAACTTTGGGAGTGTGGGGATAGAGGCTCCAGCCTGGCCAACAGGAGGCACTCCAAACACAAAGAACCACCACGCATGAGGACAGAGGCCACGGGACCCACCCATCTCTCCCTTGCTGGGGTTCACTGAACAACAAATGCAGGGCAACGGAATAATTAACCCAGCAAGTTGATGGCAGACTAAGAGGGGAATCCAGCCTTCTGATGGCTAGGCATCTTGGGCCCTTCTGTCGCACTGTTTTTTGAAGCAAATGTTAAAATATCCATGCCTTTCCTACACTTCGGTAAGACGCAGAATCAACATATGGGCTAAGATGCGGGATGTTTAACATGTCACATCATTAGACCATTCTTGTGGAAACAAAGGTTTGGGTGCACAGCTCAACAAGTACAGGCATACCAGTGGTTCCAAAAGAGTCTATTGATAACACGCGGACTATCTGGAGGAGGTCTAGGATGAATGAACGGCCCCCAGAATAGCAGTCGTCTTGTTTAATGGCTGAGGGCCACACTGGAAACTTGACCAAGAGATGCCCCGCTTTCCCAGAGCAAGAGGGTGTGGTTCAGCAGTTCCTCTGTGATCTTTAAGGAAGTGAGGCTCTTGATGTCAGACATGATAGGAGATTGGCGTATATTTAGCCTTCCTGCTACCACAAATTTGTCCTTGCTCAGCTCTCCTACCCTTTATTGGGCACCTTCTGTGCCACGTACTGAGCTAGAAGCTGCAGGTGTAAAGGAAGTCACAGCCTTTGCCCTCAAGTAGTTGGCAGAGCAAGGCAATGAGCTAAAGTACCACGTATTATTAGAAATTATTATGGATAATCATTTTATCTGTAGAAAGTTTTTTGATTTACCAAGTAATCCGATCTAAAAACCCTGTACGTCAGGTGGCCTTATCATGTCTATTTTATAGGCAAACAAACTGAGACGGAAGATGTAAAGTGATGTCTCCAGTATGGATACGAAGTTTCAAAAGTCAGACTTGAACTCAGTTCTGCTGACTCCTTTCCCGAGTGGTCCCTCTCAGTGGCATGTGAATCTCAATAGGATCAGTCTTCCGTGAAAGCTGCAGGATTCAAACCAGGGACTCCCGGAGATATTTAGGAGATTGGAGCGCCGGAGCCCTCCCAGGGTCCCTGAAAACCCAGCACAGCAGCAACCTGTGGGTAATACTCCCCTGGGAACAAGCCTCACCCTGAGGGGTAGCCCTGCAGCCGCCTCCTTGGCCGCCTGGAATGGCCTTCCCGCCAAGTCCAAAGACTGTCTTCCTCTGGGGCCAGGGTTTCTGAATTGCTTTCTGTGGGCTCATTCCTACTTTTCATTAGATTAGGTGCAAACACTCTGAGTAAACAAAATAAAAATTCCCTAGCATCAGCAGCCCAGTGCTAACGGCTACACCCTGGATGATTTTCTTTTAGTTAATAATTCAATTGCCAAAAATGTCGGTGGGGGGGTGGGGGGCTTGGCAGGGACTTGCCTCCAGCTGCAAATCAACTTCAGACCCCAGAGGAACTTGAAAGAACTACCAGTGCCCACAATGGTTCTTCAGTGCAGCCTGTGTTTACTCAGGACCAGCCCACAACCTCCATAGCCCCAAAGGCGGCCTGCATGTAAATGCTACATTGTGCAGTGATTTGGGGGTTATGTGGCTTCAGGCTGGTGGCAGATGATTTGTGAGGCGGCTTCAGATCCATCAGGTTTGAAATTCGACATTGGCTGGTATGTTTTGCTTTTACACTCATTCATTCCTCCTTCCATTCATCAAAGCTTAATTAAATGCCTACTGTGTGCTAGGCACTGTACTAGCTACCAGCTATAGGAAAACATAAAAGGACATGGTCATTGCCCTAAAAAAAAGATGATAAGGAGAGACGTGTGCAATCCCTTGACAAGTTCCCTATTCTCCTCAGAGCATTAACGTGACCCTTGTCATGCTCTCTTCTTGGGATCCTCTGATGAGTTAAACTCAACAGATTGGGGTATATGATTAATTCATCAGACATAGGTACTTCATAGAACCAGGTACTTCCCAAGGCAGCAGAGTTAACAACACAGAAAAACATGGTCTCTGTCCTCAAGGATATTCAGACTAGTGGGAGAGAGGGATCTGCCGGACAATGGTTGCATTAAGGAGCCATAATTAGTAAGAGACAACCGTTCAGGCTATGGTGTAAGCACAAGGGAGAGAGTCTTGGGCGGAGGGACTGGACCAAGTTACAAAGAGGACTCTACAGACGAGATGATGGTACTGATTCAAGAAAGATGAGCAGGTGTTCATCCAGGTGGGCTGTGGGAAACGCAGTGTCCCCAATACCATGGACAGTATCTCATTCATTCTTTCATCAGAAATTTATTGAGTGCCCATTATGTGCCAGGCACTGGAATAGGTACTGTAGTAGACATTAGCAATACACAGAATGGCAAGACCCCTGGAAACTTATTCTCCAGAGGAAGGGATAGACCTATAAACATAGAACCATAATACAGTGACCTAAGGTGTGCAGTCAGAAGGTGTTCAAGAGGTTACTTATGGTTTCTTTCTCATACCTGGACACAGAGTGTCAACATTAGAGTCTGCCTTTCTAGAACTTAACCCTAATTTAATAGGAAGAAATGTTTACAGGGTATACAAGAGGCAACATGGTACGAAGGTAAGAGTGGGGATTTCAGAATCGAATACAGTTGTGTTCAAATCCCACTTTTGCCAAGCTAGCTGTATGACCTTGGGCAATTTGCATAACCTACGTAGAAAAAAAGCTCCACCTTCTCATCTGCAACCTGTCTATGGTTGTTGCAAGGATTAGAGATAATCTATATTATTAAAGTGCCTGGTTATCATAGGTGATCAGTAAAAGGCAATTACTTCTTAGTGCACAAATAACACTGAGAAGTGAATTTCCAGTACCGAAGTGAGACGTTAAGGCTGATCATTATTCATTACTTCACTGTTAAGAAAACTATGATCAGTGTTTGACCTTCTGACTCCATATGACCAGGAGAAATCTGGACATAACAAAATATAGATGAGGCCAGGTATGCTAATTCAATTTTCGAACCTTCAGTGGTTATTCCAAGAGATCCTACTTAATGATCCAGGCCATTAGAGTCCTTGGTCAGATTTTAGGCAGAAAACCAACTTTCTCTCTCTACAACCAAGAAAACAAGTTGGACAGTATAGACTAGTCTATGGATTTTCTAGGGATTGGAGTGTAGCCAGACATCTTTTTGAATGCGTGAACTCTGAAATACCTTAACCAAAGCAAAATATTTTGAATGTAAACAATAGACTCTCAGGGAGGGTCTAAGCTCATTCCATTTCTCGTGTACACATTTAAGTAGCACGGAATGTTTACAAGTGCTGTGTTTATATGTGATTATGGGAAACTAGGGGACGAGGAGACCCGAGAAGAGAAGAGGGGGAGAGACGAGCAGAAGGTGGCCACAGAATATTGCACAGTGTCCAGTAGGACTGCTAAAAATAGGGAAATCTAATACTCCGTTTTAAGTGGTTCGCATTTATGCAAAAATATCCTCTCTCTTTTCTAAATCCTTTGATTAAAAGGGCTATTTTGTAGGTAAAGCTTTAAGTGAATAGTTTGGGCAAAAATAAAGAAAAAGGTACTCCAACATGAATTCCACATTTGAATGGACACTAGGCTGGAAATAAAGTGACAGCCACTTTCTGTAAATCAGCAGCAGGGGCAGGGATTCAAAACCCAGGTGTCTCAGAAAAGTTCAGAAACTTTTGGGTGGACTTTGGACTTTTCACAGACACTTGTGACTTTGTGAAATTAACATGTGTTAAGTAAAGCCAGAGAGAAGTTTATTGCTTGCAGGTCCCGAAGTAAGTACCTGGCCGTGCCTCAGGGGACCACGTGGAAAGGTCAAGGCAGGGTGCAGGCAGAGAGCATTCTGGATGTTATTTTTTCTCCCCTATTCACTATCTCTTTGTCGTTTCACTATCCTCACTGGGAGATTTCTCAGCTTTATCTTCAAGGCCATCTACTGAGTTTTCCATTTCTGATCTTACGGTGGTCTCTAAATATTTCTTTTTGGGAGGGGGAGGGTTGTAAAAGCAATCTAGCCAAGTAAATATATAAAGATCTAACTGACTTTATTAAATGATTCATGAATGATTCACGAACTAGACCGGCAGCATCCCACCTAGAAGGTTTTTATAGGAAGGAGGGTGGGGCACAAAGTTATTAGCAAAGGAAAAGAAAGGGTTGTTTGAGGCAAGGTCACCTTTCCTTAGGGGAAAGGGCAAGGGTCTTATTAGGTAGATTACCTCATCTTGTTTTGAGTGGGTGGAGAAGGCATCTGTGATAGATTCCTCATAGATGCTGATCAGAAAATTCCTGACTGACCAATTAAGACTACATTTGGGGGAGGTTGAAACTGCAATTAGGTATTAGGTTCAGATTTGGTGATTTGACTTAAGAGATGCCATTTGGGGCTGATGGTTTTCTTTTCAGCAGGATAGAACACTTTCCTTCTTTCTTTCTTTCTTTCTTTCTTTCTTTCTTTCTTTCTTTCTATGTTTATTTGTTTTGGAGATAGAGACAGAGCGTGAGTGGGGGAGGGGCAGAGAGAGAGGGAGACACAGAATCTGAAGCAGCCTCCAGACTCTGAGTCTTATCTTCACGAGGGCAGTAAGGTTATTTTGTTGAAGTTTCCTTTTCCCTGCATTGTCTCTGTCTTTTCTGGGTTTTTCTTCTTCTTCTCCTCCTCCTCCTCCTTCTCCTCCTCCTCCTCCTCCTCCTTCTTCTTCTTCTTCTTCTTCTTCTTCTTCTTCTTCTTCTTCTTCTTCTTCTTCATCGTTTCCTTAGTTAGGTCTCTATCATATTACAGGTTTTCCTCAGATATCTGGTGGTCCTGCATTGTCTACCTTTCAACACGTGAAGCCATCAAGGGATGTGTGCTGTGACAACACTGACACATAAGGAGCCATCTAAGTCATGACACATCTCCATTTGCTATTTAGATGGTTACGTAACTTACATGACACCTCCAGGCACCCGTGCCCCGTGGAGCCATAGACTAAAGGCTTATTTACCATCAGCAATCCTAGACAACCAAGTACATCCTTCCAAAAGCATTCCAAGGGCGAGACTTCCCTGCCAGCAATATCATTAGATTGTTTGCTGGGAGGTCTGTCATTAAATGCTTATAGAGGTATCTGACTGGGTCACCTTCTTCCTTTCCTGGTGTCTCTCCCAAGTCGTGAAGGGAATGAACCACAGACCTGTTGCTCAGCCAGTTCCTTCACTGCATTCACAGCATGCTGGACCTCTTATTCCATCAAAGCGAGGACCAAAGGGCATTGGTAGTATTATCCCCATTTAACAAACAAGGATGAGAACCTCAGCCCGTAAACAGTTCCCCGTGGTCATGGCATCTGGTAAAAGCAGGAGGCTCTCACACGGCTAGCCTCGAGTTCTCGTCCCCATTGTGATCCCATGGACAAGGTCCCTTAGCCAAACAGCCCCCCTTACCGTGGGGACCAGGCATAGTGTCTGCTTTTCTCTGAGTAGTGGAGAGTTCCAGTTCCCCACCAGCCTGAGGAAATTATTCAAACAGGACAAGCACATCCTCCCAGGAGGATCAGAGAACACCTGACCTTCTTGTTACTTCAAAGCCTGTGTCCCTTAGCCCCTACTTGTTCACTTCGTTCCCAAATGACCCTGCATGGCATGCGGGGTCCTTCTCCCCTACGCTGTGAGTGTAAGTGACTATTAAACCACTACTGGGATGCCCGGGTGGCTCAGTCAGTTACGCACCAGACTTTGGCTCAGGTCATGATCTCATGGTTCGTGAGTTCGAGCCCTGCTCCCTCGGGCTCTCTTCTGCCAGCTCAGAGCCTGCCTCAGACCTTCTGTGTCTCTCTCTCTCTCTGTCCCTCCCTCGCTCGCTCATGTGCTTGCTCTCTCTCTCAAAAACAGATAAACGTTAAAAAAAAAAAAAAAAACCTGCTGTCAATCTTACCTGTCTAGTGTTGGGGATCATGTGTTCAGCCATCCTCATAACTTTAGGGAGAAAAAATAATAAAATAAAAGAATGATCCCAGGAGATTAAAAGGAGGAAATCCGAAAGAAGAGGGGCGCCTGGGTGGTTCAGTCGGGTGGCCATCCAGCTCTTGATTTTGGCTCAGGTCATGATCCCAGGGCCGCAGGATCCAGCCCCTTGTTGGACTCCACACTGAGTGTGGAGCCTGCTTAGGATTCTCTCTCCTCTCTCTCTCCCCTGCCCCCCACCTCTCCCCTGCCCCCCTCTCTCTCTCTCCCCTGCCCCCCACTGCCCCCACCCACCATGCCCCACCGTGCATGTTCGCAAGCACGCTCTCTCTCTCTCTCTCTCTCAAATTAAAAAAAAAAAAAAAAGGAAATCCAAAAGAAGAGATTTGACAGAGGGAGGAAACATCGAATAAATGATATAAGTATATAAGTTGGGGGTGGAAAGAAGATTGATGTTGTTTAAGGGCACAAACTTCAACAAGTAGTGAGTAAGCCACAGTGATGGAACATGCACTGTTTAAAGCATATGGACAACAATACTGCACCATGATTACGGAATGTGACAATCTAGAACAAAGGCTATGATATTACAAGATATAAATGTATCAAAATGACATTTTGTACACCTTAAATGTATACAATGTTATATGTCAAATATACTCAATAATAAACAAATAATCCAAGCAAATTCCCCAGGTCTACAGGATACCACGGCTTGTTTGAAATTATGGATTATATGGGCATCATAATGTATTCAAGAATTCTAGAAACATCCAGAGGTTTCTTAATTTAGTGTGGATATTATTTATTGGTATTTATATAATCACCAGAAAAAAATAAAACAATTTACGATAGCCTTTAAATAATGTCAAATGTTATCTTTTGACAGAATTGAGCTTCCAAAAAATTTATTCTGATTTCATGCATACAGTTGGTGAAAAAAATTGGACCATTATTGGAGTAGACTTATTTTCTATTTAAAGTATCTGATAACACCATGTGAAACGGGCATCATTTAGGCATCGATGGAATCAACGTATGTGCACAAGAAAACTTGAAATAGAATGAAAGAAATTAATTTAAAAGAAAAGTCATTTGAATAGAAAAGTCACGTTTCATAGAATGATATGTGAATGGATATTGTACCTGTTAAAATGATGTCTTCAAA